ATAAAGTAAGCTTAAGTTGAGTACTTTTGTATGTTTCCACTAATCAAAACTTTGATTCTAATAAAACTTTTTAATGAAAATTCAACTTATTACTTTATTTTTAGGAATAATTAGAAAGTGTAGAATTTAAATTGAATTGAACGCTGTTACATACGATTGAAACAAATTTGATTTTAAAATATTTTTGTTTTTCTCTTACAGAGAAAAAATTCTCTTGTAGAAATTTAAAGTTAGAGAAAAATCATTGTTCAATAATAACGATTTCTTCCCAACAACCATTATTCATCTTTTATAATTTACTATCAGAAATTTTTGATTATTCTCGAATAGATGGATATGAATCGAATTTATTTATAGCTTTGATTGAATGAGTTTGATGAGTGGCAGAAGAAAGTGTGAAAGTGGAAGAGAAAAATTTTTTTGCAAATAATTTTAACATCTAATTAAAATTAAATAAGACAAAAGTGTTGATTCATTTGGCTGGAATTAACAATTAATTCTTTTCAGTTTTTCATAACTTTGTGAAAAAAAAATAGAAAACAAAAGTTGATGCGTAAAAGCATAAAATTGATTGTATTTTAAAAGATATAAATTATTGATTTTTCCAGATAGTTTTTTTTTTTTGAATTCGTTCATTTTTATATTTTGAATATGTGCAAAATTAATGTTGTAAAATGTTGTAATAAATGAAATTTTCATGGAATATTTGTTGCACTTTTTACTGTAGCAAAAAGAGAAATAATGTAAGTTTTCGTTTTTTTTTTTTAGGCTATTTTAATTTGTTAAACTTTTTTAAGCTTATACCAAATTGCACTTAATATAAGCAATTAAATGTTCTATAACAATTTTTCATTGTGAGAAACTTTTTTTTAGTGCTAATTTTCAGTTCGGATACATCATAAAGACGCTAATTACTTTGTATTAGATAGCTTTCTCATTATTTTTTGACTAATTTCTTTTGTTAAATTAGGCTACTTTTTTTTTTGAATATTGATTATTTTGCTATTTTGATTAGTATTATGAAAGTGGAAATTCGGAATATTTGCTATTAAACAATCTAATCAGTAATAATACCGGATAGAGTTTCTGCTATATATTGTAGACAAGGAAATTGTTGTAAGCGAAAATCTGCATGTACTAAATAATAATATAATCGTATATTGCATTCTACAAACGTTTCAATTGACATATCAAAGAAAAAAATGCGGTAATTTCATTAATGACAAATGCGCCATATTTTTCAATGCTTTTTGAAACAATTAAAAAAGGAGTTAAGAAATGGAAAGAGAAATGATTTTATCATCATAATGATAATCCATCGTTTTTCCATGTAATCATTTCACTTATGAAAAAATAGGATCTAGCTTTGAATTTTATTTCTTAGTCTATCTAATTTCTGATTCTTCTATAGTAATTCAGTTTTTTTTTTTGAATCTCATACAGCCTAACTTCTGAATCACATATAATATCACATTCTTAATCTTGTACAGAAATAGAATGCTATACAGCCTAATAGAGTAATAAAGTTTAAAGTCTAATAGAGTAATAAAGTTTTGAATTCGTGCAATAATAAAATTCATATCATTATTTCAATTTCAGGTATAAAATTTTGTGCTAATGGTAATATTCTACTTTCTTTAGACCTTTCAACAAAATTAAATTTGCTAATTTGTTAAAATTTGAAATCATTTGAAAAACTTCTTTAAATAAAATTATCCTTATTTATTAATTATAAAAACAAAAGTTCATCAACAATTTTATTTACTATTCTTCTTGCAAAATTAATTATTTCCTTCATATAAACAAAATAAATATCTTTATTTTAGTAAAAATAAATTTTATTAAAAGATATGCAATTGCTATATCATTCCGAAAGCTTAATGATTTTGCAGCAGCAATTTAATAATTTTATAATTAACTTAACAAACATTTTTTTTTTAATTAGATAAACAACTACTAAATAACTTTTCATAAATTAATAAATGGAATTTATAAATTATTGAAAAAATCCCTTTTGATTTTAATTATGACATATAATTAGATATTTAAATATATTTTTGTTTGTTTATTTATTTTGGTAAAAATTAATTGTTATAATTTAAGTTGCCATTTTAATACATAATATGACAAAAATTTTGAGAGAAATTTTGGAACGTTTTTTCAATTAAAATTATAATTAAATTAATTAAATATGAAAAATGATTAGGCATAGCAAATAGATTATACATCGTTTATTTTTTAACTCAATTTTTTTTTTGAACTTTAATTAACTATCTTTTAAATACTTTTTCCAATTGTTCTGTTTTAAAATAAGCTAAAACAAAAACTTATCCATTTCAATATCAATAATGAAAAAATAATTAACTATCCTTTAAGTGCTTTATTCCAATTGTTCTGTTTTAAAATAACCTAAAATAAAAACTTATTCATTTCAATATCAATGATAAAAAATAATTAACTATCCTTTCAGTACTTTCCCTATTGTTCTGTTTTAAAATAAGCTAAAACAAAAACTTATCCATTTCAATATCAATAATGAAAAAATAATTAACTATCCTTTAAGTACTTTATTCCAATTGTTCTGTTTTAAAATAACCTAAAATAAAAACTTATTCATTTCAATATCAATGATAAAAAATAATTAACTATCCTTTAAGTACTTTCCCTATTGTTCTGTTTTAAAATAAGCTAAAACAAAAACTTATCCATTTCAATATCAATAATATAAAAAATGGGTAAATGATACGAAAGGGTACGAATGATTTATGTGAATTGAAACTGACAGGTGTTGGTGGTGGTTAGTTTAAAACAAAACAAAAAAGAACGAAACGAAATGAAACGAAACGAAAAATTTGTCATAAAAAAAAATTTTCAACAAAAATTTGTCAAATTTTCTATGATTTTTAGTTATTGCTGTCGCTTTCCCCGTTCTTCTATCTATTGTTTATTTTCTTAAAAAATAAGTTTTAAAAAAAAAAAAATTCAACTTTTTTTACGAAATATATTTTTCCTCCTCAACTGCGTCATTCATTATTTGATTGTTGTAAAATTCGTTTTCTTTTTAGAGAGAGAAAAAGAAATATTAAAGCTGTTTTCAACTGATATTTAAAGCAGAAACAAATGATAGATATACATATGTAATGTAATTTGTTGTATTTTTCAACTATTTAAAGATTTCCATATATTTAACATGTATCATTTTGCAATTGTAAATTTATAAATGGTATTGTTTGATTTTTAATTTGTTACAACTTTACAGTAATACAAATGTCCTACAACTTTACAGTAATACAAATGTCCTGCAGATTTACAATAATACAAATAATACAGTAAATACAAGTAATACAGTAATACAAATGCCTTACAACTTTACAGTAATACAAACAATACAGTAATGCAAATATCCTACAACTTTACAGTAATACAAATGTTCTACAACTTTACGGTAATACAAATAATATAGTAATACAGAGTTTCTCTATTTTGTATATTTTGATTGTAATTTTTTTTCGAATGCATTAAATTGTGAACTATTACGATGAACATTTTTTTACTGCATATATTTTAATTTTAACAAATATTAAAATGAATGAATTTTAAGAGTTGTCGAAAGAAATTCGAAAATATTTTTTAAATTCTTATTCAAATATTATATTGCTTTTTGCTAATAAAAAAATAAAGATTATTAATAATAATAAAGATAATAAAAGTATTTATTACCTATTGTTTACAATAAATAAACCAAATAAATAATGTGAAATTTTGATTAGCCATTTCTTACTAATAAATAAAACTAACAATAATTAGTATATAAAAAATTACAATACCGTATAATACAACTGATAATGATGAAGATAATGAAAGTAGCAAATTATTTAATATTTATAATAAGTAAATAAATGAATAATGTGAAATTTTGTTTACTTGGGATATGTGATTTTAAATCTGATAGTAAACATTAAATATCAAATGAATGATTGGTAAATGATAACAATTGGACAATATTTCTCAATGGTAAAGCGTTATTTGAGAAATCTTTTCGAGTGCTTCACCACAAAGTCATTCGTATTAGTTTAAATTTATTTTAAATTGTATAATTTCGAAATTTTGTTCCTTCCTTTTCTCTTAATTATTTTTTCACTTTAATTTTTGATAATTATATTATTTCATTTCATTTTAATCTATTAATTCATTAACTATTTTACTTATTATTTAAAAAATAATAATTACTAAATTTTTTTTAGTTGAATAATTTTGAAATTTCATTTCTTCCCTTTCTAATTCATTAACTATTTTACTTATAATTTAAAAAATAATAATTATTAAATTTTTTTTTAGTTGAATAATTTTGAAATTTCATTACTTTCCTTTCTCTTAATTATTTTTTCACTTTAATTTTTGATAATTATATTATTTCATTTCGTTTTAATTTATTGATTATTTTGTATATAATTTAAACGGCAATTATTACAGAGGGGAAAAGAAAGAAGAAAAGATTTTTTTTTTTAATCAAAATATTTGTTTAATAAATAAAAATTAAATGATTAGAAACTGTAAACATGCAAACCAAAATATATGCCTTTAAAAAAAATCAATATTTATGCTTTATAAATGAAAATTTGAGGAATAATTAAAAATAAACAATCGAATAATACATTTGATAAAATGATAATAATCAATAAATACCAGTTTGTTTATAATAGATAAATAATAAATAAATAAAATATTTATTATTTATTATTAACGATAGTAGTAGTAAGCAAATATGTTCAGTTTTTCATTTATAGTATTTTAAAAAAGAAAAATATTATATCATATAAATAGACTATTGATTGTTTTCTAATTTCTCTAGAAATAATCGGTCCTTTTGAAAGATGTAAATTAATATTCTAACAAGTAATTCTATAATGATTGCATCGTTTCTCTTTTTCTTGTTTCTAAATTATTGATTGATTTTGGATGTTATGAAATTTTAGAACTTCTAAACTTCTCTACAAGTGATGATATTTGAAGCTGATGTGATCATTGGACCAGATGAGCTGGAAAATAATTTCGATTCTCAGGCCTATCTTTTGGTATAATCTTTTAAATCTCTAACTTCGGATAGAGAAAATTTGTAAAAGCATAATTTATAATAAAAATTCTTAAGTTTGAGAGGGTTGCAACTTTAAACAATTGAGATAATAAAATTAATTTTCGGAATTGAAATAAAGAAAATCAAAGATAGTTAAAGTTTAACATTTTAAAGTTGAATAAATTGGGATCTTAAAATTTAGCAGAAATTATCTTATGCAATTATAAAATTTCAGATGTTTTCTTTAAATACAAAAACGAAGTGGAATTGAATTAATTTAGTAATTTGAAAACTAATTTAACGAAACTGTAAGTTAATTTAAGGAAATGACAACTTTGTTATTATGCTCTTTATGCTATTGAAACGTTAACATAAATTAAGCATAACCATTTTAGGATTATTTTTTATTCAAAATTTAAAGACTTAAATTTGATTGGAAAAAAAATTGTAAAAATATTAAAAGTAAAATATAACTAAATAGTAAAAAAATTTTTTCCTAAAAAGAAATTATTTTTAATAAATATTTTTTAACGGATATTCTTTCTATTGATTGAATTAAATTTTTGATGAATCATAAATTAAATTAGATTTTATGAATTAATTCAGGATTTTTATCAACATGTTGATGATCCGGCTATGCAAATGATGATTATGTTATTACCAACTATTGCTGAACGTATTGATTGTTGCGATAATCTTTTGGATTTTGGTGCTGGACCAACCATACACGTTTCGGTTGTTTTCAGGAATAAAGTAAACAATGTAAACATATTACATTTTCCGATAAACCGTTCATTCCTCCGTTTTTTTGCATATTTCAAATGAATTAATAACAATTTTAAATTGCTAAGAAAAAAGTGAGAAGCTATTATTTTATTTTCTATTTTTCAAAAATTAACGATATGAAAAAAAATTTAAAATAATATTTTTATTTTTAAAAGTAAAATTAACATTATACTGCTGTTACTCTTGGCTTTTTTACGTGATGAAATTTGCAAATATTTTAAAATTTAACGAACTGATATCAAAAATATATAAGTACAAATAATGCTTGAAGGGTTTTAAGAAGAATATTATGTTATATTGGCAAATAATAGCAAAATTTCTTTCTTTCTTTAGATTCTCATTTTCTTTTCTTCGAAATAAAATTCATCGAAATTGTATAAATTTCAACTCGCTAGTGTAAAAATTTAACTTTGAAAATTTTCTGATGTAAAATTACGATAACGAAAAGTAGCACTAAAATTTCGTTTTTCTTTAGATCATCGTTTTTCTTTTTCGTTTTAATATTTTTCAGATCAAATTTATCAACTGTTAAAAGTTTAACTCAATGACGTCAAAATCAAACTTTTAAAACTTTCAGATGTAAAGTTATGATAATAAATGGTAGCATTAAAATTTTGCTCTCTTGTTTTCCTATCATCTTTTTTTTCTCTTTCTTTCTTTCTAGCACTTTTCGAATGAAATTTATTAAAATTTTAAAATCATAAATAATTTTTGAAGAAAAATTTTTAAAAGAATATGGTGCTGTAAAAGAGAAAATGATAACGAAGGGAAAAAATTGTTTAGGTAAATTAGGCTGAGCAAAAGAAAGAAGGCATTCATTGCTTTTGTAGAAATTCATGTAATAATTAATTAATTATGAGTTGTTCTATTTTTTTTTTGTTTTTAGTTTTTCAGCAAATTTTTTAATTTAAAATATTTCATTCGTTTCATTTCTTTTCTTTTTAGAGAAGAAAAAGAATATTTGGCAAATTGTTTGAAATGAAAAATGATGAAATTAAGAAAAGAAAAACGAAAAAGAGAATGGATAAATAAATTGGTGCTAACATTGTTGTTCCTAAATTATTTAACAAATAGTTTTTATAAATTTAACAAACTAAAAAGTAAAAGATTGCAAAAATTGAAAAAAAATGAAACGGTTTAATAAACGGTTTAAAATAAAGATGTAAGCATATCCGAGCGAGCAAATATAATTTGCAAAAAATAATTATTTCGATGATAATTGCATAAAATTTAACAAAGTGTTGAAATTTTAAAAGTTTTCATATTAAAATTATTTAAACTTTCTTTTAAAATTTGGTTAGCCTTGGAAAAAAAAGATGCTTCAAACATATAAGGCTGGCATGAAATTGTTATGAGTAAAAAAAAAGGAAAATTTGTTGTCCTAAAATTTTATCCTCGAGAAATCTATTAAAACATACATAGATACCGAAAAACATAAATGACAGTAATTTGCAGATCTTTTAAACAGATCAGAATTGACTTTAAATTGAATTTTGGTACAATTAATTCATTTATAAAAACATTAATTTATAGATTGGATGAATTTTAGTCTAATTATATTTCAGATATACTTAGCTGATTATTTGCCGCAAAATATTGATGAATTAATTCGATGGACAACTGGTCGAGGTTCATTTGATTGGACACCGGCGCTTAAAATGATTGCGACAGTAGAAGGTTCCGGTTGGTTGCAACTGAAAGAAATGGAAGAATACACTAGGTCAAAGGTCGTAATTTCAATTACAAAAATGATATTTTTTAGAAGTTTTTTGTCTACAAATTGTAAATAACATTGGAGAGAAATATGGAAGGAAAATATGTTAATTATAAGTGGTAAATAATTGAGATAAAACATTGTTAATTATATGAAATCATTGTATAAAGTTATTCGTATATTTTCCGAATAAGTTATTATTTTAATTTTCTACAGATTCGATCAGTTTTTCATTGTAATTGTCATAATAAACCATCGATAAGTGCCCCGGAAATTTCTCAAAATAATTTCGATGTAAGTTAAACTAATGAATAATTGTATTACATAAGCATTTTATATATTGCTCAATCGATATTAATAATTAGCACTTTTGATTTTCATATTCTGAATTTTCATTTCTTGATTTCTGAATTTTTGTATTTTGATATTTATATTTTTGTCAGAGATATTCTGAAAAATATATTTAGTACGACATATATATTTATTATATGTATATTATAAATATATTATATATATACATAATATTTTTTTCACTTTAATTGATAAGATTTAATTGAGAGAAGAAATAATTTTTAAATATAAATTTTACTAAACAAATTTGTTATCTATTCTTTTGTTTCTTTATTTTTGAATGAATTTTTTTTAGAATTAAAATTTCAGATAGTTGTAAGCATCCTTTGCTTGGAATACTGCTGCAATAGTATAACAGAATATAAAGAAGCAGTACAAAATGTTGTAGATCAAGTAAAACCTGGGGGTGAACTTTAACCTTATAGCTTCTTTCCTTTTTTTTTTCTCTTAGAAATTATATGCAAAATAATATTGTCCACTGCAGTGTATGTTCAAATAATTAACTCAAATTGAAATTACATAAAAATTTTTAGCGAAATAAATTTCAAAATTTGTATATTTTAAAACATTAAAGGATTTTGTAAATTGGAATTGAGTAGAATGTGATTTTTCAAATAATTTTGCTTATGAATTTTTAAACTTAAAATGAATAATTAAAATTTAAATTCAATTATTCAAAAAAAAAATAAAAGAAATTACTCAACAACTAACGACTTTTTTAGGTTGGTTTGTAATGGGTGGTGTGCTAGAAGAAACGTGGTGCTCATTTAGTGGACGTAAATTTGCATGTTTATATCTTACCGAAAATTCATTATTTGAAGCATTACGTGAAGCAAATCTTTTAGTCGATGATGAGCAATCGAGAATTTATTACTGTGCTCAAGGCATTTTTCTCATTTGTTGTAAAAAGCAAATTTGAATAATAAATTTCACACTTTGCACATTTAATTCTTTGTTTTGTTATTACCAACCTTTAAAACATCTTTTAGTTTTGCATCATAAAAATGAAAAGGAAAAAAATAAACAATTTACCAAAATAAATCTGTAATTTATTTCCATTTTCATTTGTTTATTATTATAAATTCTACTTCGTATAAAACATTAGTTGTTTATTATTTTTTATTTAATTAACTTTTCAAATTATTTGTTCAAATTATTCTTAATTATTTGCTTATTTTTGCTCAGAAGAAAAGTATAACATCGAAAGATTGAAGTTAATAGACTACAATGCTTATTGCAACCATATTTCATTAAAATAAGTTAAAAAGTGTAGTTAGTTTAATAACAAATGTATATATACATATCCAACAACACAAAATAAACCTGAGCTTATCAATGATAGCTTATCGATATAAGCTTGTTAAATGAGAAAGTTAAAGGCAATAATCTAATACTTTATGCAATTGTTGAAGGAAAAAAGGAAAACAAACTTCTAGTAGAATATTTATTTTATTTTTGGCCCATTTTTATTCATATAAAAATTTATATTTTTCACAATAAAAAGAAAAATATTCAGATATTGATTAATAAGAATAATTCATTTCAATAAGAGTTTTTAAAAATTAAATATTTTGTCTGAATATGAATAATATAAGTAAAACAAGAAGAGAAGGTTTCTTTTCAGATTCTTTGCGCTTTGTCATTTCAGATTCTTTGCATGATTTGTTTTTACTTATTTTTCGAGTCTGAATTGTTCGGAATAGAATGTAAAAGGAAGTAAGAAAAAGGCTCTAAGAGTTATTAAAAAAAGCTTTATCAGCCTAAACAAATTTGAAACAATATAATGTCTTGAAAAAATTTATAATGTACTAATAAGATTTGATATAACTGTTCTCTTCTATAGTCTTCATTAGAATTGATAGTCACGTTATATATTTTCTATCAAATTTAACTTTTTTTTTTTGGTTATCATAATCAATGGAAAAAAAAATTGAGACTTAATTGGAAAGAAAATTATCCCAATGGTTTACTGAAAAAGGAATACATTCAGTTAAGGTTAATTATTGAATTATCATTTCAAGCATGGTAAATATTGATCATTATCTTACAATCTTATAAGACGTTAAAAGGCGAATGAAACAAACAGCAAAAATACTAAATTTATTATATTTATTTAACTTTCTACGGTAGTTTACAGTATGAAATAGAATTACGGTACCATTAGATCTACACAAATATCAGCTAATAGTAAGAGAACGCAAAGATGAAATGTTTGTCAGTAGAATTTAACGAATAAAAATGAGTGAGAAATGGAAAATATTGAAAAGAAAACAAAACAAAAAGAACTCATCAATCATTATCAATTTTATCATTTTTAACACTGCGAACCAATTCAAGACTAAATGTACTAAGAAAGAAAGATTCTTATAATTTGCATTTGTAAACAATAAATATTAAAATATTAAGTAATTTCAATTTATCATGCAAAAATTTGGTTGACTTACGTGAAATTTCATCGTTTATCAGTTATTGCATAGAGGAAATAAAGTACAGTGTAAAAATGAATGAACACAATACCGGAATGCAGTACCGGAATTCATCAGAAATGTTCCGTTTGCAATTTTCATAAAAAAAAAATCACTTTAAAATATTCCATTTATAATTTTCATAAAAAAAAAAATCATTTTTACAGTAAATTAACCTATCAATTATTTTTCAGTAAGTTTAAATTAATTTGCGATTAAGACATTTTGATAAATGCAACAGCAATTTATTATATAAAAAAGTATTCAGGAAAAGAAAATCATATATTTATATTTGTATTATTTTTTTACATTTATTTTGTATTCAACAAAGATTTTCTCTCTTTTTCTTTCCATCTCTCTCTCTCTCTATGTGATGTTTGTTTGCTTTTAGAAACAAAATTTAAAATTAATTAAAAACTAAAAAAAAAAATTATTTTCGAATTTTTTAATAGATCAATATCAGTATTATTAAGTTAAATGATTTTCTTTGATAGAAAAATTATTAGAATTATTATGCTTTTTTCTATTATCGTTTAATTACTGATAAAAACTATCATATGACGAAGTGTTATGAATATCGATGATTCGATATCAAAATATATTATTAGTGTTAAATTTACTGTCAACAGACTTCCATAACAATTTTCCAATTTAATTAATACCAATCTTAATCATATGTATTTTGATCTTTCTTGTTGTTTGTTTGTTTTCGTTTGTTCCAATTCAATTACGATTCTTCACAATTCACACTATTAAAATATTTTCCGGACATATGCATAAATTGCACTTGATGTAAGCTACTAACAAATTCATAAAAAAAGAAATTCAATATTCGTGATAAATGAATACTATGTTGGTAAGGTCAAATAATATCAAACTGATAATGTATAGAAAAATTAGTGATTTACGTGAAAATTCTACACGATGTACACGTATTATTTACCGTATTATTGGGATATACGTGAACTATGAATATGCAAGCACTACTTCATACACGCTAACATGCCTAAAAATAAAGTACATTTTTACATTTACATCCTTCCATGTAAAATTTCTTACGTGATATTTATGGTTCAAAATGTCACGTAGTATGACAACTCCGCCCCATGAAATATCTTTTTACTGTACAACAACAATCATCATAAAACAATTTCTTTTATTGCAAATGATATCCCTAAAAAGAGACATACATTAATATACGTGCAAACACTTAATACGTGCAAAAACATCCATGCATGTAAGCATGTACACACATATACATGTATAAGTATGTACACATACACACACATACACAACTACATACATACAGACAGACACAGAAATAGACAAATAGACAATCTCCTCAAAATATTGATTGATTATTAGTTGCCATATCGGCTGGTATTAATGACTGATGTATTTTTCTCTATTTGCCGTGTTTTATTTCATTCAAAAATAATTATCCCAAATTAATTAAATTATTAAAATTGTCTAAATTTGATTATTCATTTATATAATTCTTTTGTTTATTCATTCCATTAATTTTATTACTTACTTTTTATATTTATTTAATAATTTATTAACATTATAATATAATTATTTAATTTTATCTCATATATTATAACATATGTTTGAATTGGAAATGTTTATTTAATTAGAATTTAAAAATTTAACATTTAGCTAATTAATATATAAACGCTGTCAATGTTAATTAATTAATCTTTTGTAAATATTTAAAGATTAAAATGTATGGTATATATTATGTGGGTATTGTTTTGGAAGTATCTGTTGATCGAATTAAAGTATTGAGAAGAACTAAAATTTATCAATTTAGCTGTAAAATACCAACAAATATTGTACCAGGCAGTTGGATCAATTTCGCTGTAAGTGATTTATAGCCATAAAACAAAATTATTATTCATATTTGACGGATTAAATTTAAATTGAATTTTTCATTTGGATTTACCCAAATTTGTCATAATGCATACGTGAACCTGAAAACCAAGCTAGAAACTGTGATCTGTATTATTTTCATTTGCCATTTTGGTGATTTTTTTTTAATTACAATGATGATAATTAATTTTCTGTATTTGAGTTGATTTTCATAATTTTGATTTAAATTTAAGTTTAATTTAAAGATAGGAAAAAATTGCACTATTATAAGAAAATTTTCATTTACATAAATTCTTAAAAATATTTGAAATATTGTGCTGGAAAATATATTTCTTCATATATTTTAATTAATGAATGATTTAAATTTCATTTCAGTTTAAATTTTAGTATTTTGAATTTCAGGTATTTTTTTTATTTGTTAAAATTCAGGAAAAGAGATAAATATCGGAATACCGAAAAAGAGATGAATACCGAAAAGAGATAAATACCGGATAAATACCAATAAATACCGGAACATTTTCCTTAATATATGCATAAGAGAAATGCTCAACTTATTTAACTTTCATTGATAAAAGAGGAATAGTTTGAAATGCTAAATTCTGTCTCATTTTATATTTTCAATTCATATTACCAATATATACTTGCCTCATAATTCTAATATTAATTATATTAATTAAAAAAGTTAATTTCTGAATGAGAACATAAGACATATCTTATTGAACTATTATAACTTATGCTTAAATTTTAGTATTTTGAATTTCAGGTTTTTTTGTTTATTTATTAAAATTCAGGAAAAGAGATAAATACCGGAACATTTTCCTTGATATATGCATAAGAAAAATGCTCCATATTTCTAATATTAATTATATTAATTAAAAAAGTTAATTTCTGAATGAGAACATGAGACATATCTTATTGAACTATTATAACTTTTACGCGTTGAAAAATTGAGCTTTAATAAAGTTATAGAAAGAAAATTTGTAGAAATTCATATATCGAATAAACTGTCTTATATCTGAAGCAAAAAACAATAAGTTAATTGGGAATGATCAAATATAATGTTTTCAGGAAAAAGTTCAAAAATAATACAGCTTTTTTTCTAAGTTGTATTTTCTCTTTTATTTTTCAGTTTAGTGATGATTCAATGGTACCAATCATTGAGGCTTGTTCACCAATTCTTCCAACCAGAATTATTAAGTTGAATGGTACTAGTGATTTAGCAAGTTGCCAAATTTCGGTATGTTTCAACATTCATCATATCGAATTGTTTGGTATATATGAAAGTTTTTACATGGTTGTTTTTTTTATTAAAAAATTTTATATGATATTAATTTTTTCAGATTCAAACAGTTGCAGCTATTCCTTGTCGGTCGAATATAGATAATAATTTCGAACAATATGTTTGGTCACCACATTTTGAAGTATGCTTTCTTTTTGCATTGTAATTTGTGAAAGAATTTTTCTTATGTGACTTCCTTCAAGATGATATTATTAAACGTTGCATTGTTTTTTAATTGTCTTTGCACAATGTTTGATAATCTTATGAACTGATGGACTATTGAAAAATTATTTTATTTTTACTGTTTGTTTTGTTAAATTAACCGGATACTTGGATCTGCAAAAATGACAGCCACATTCTTACAATTATTATATGCTTTTTAGGTGATCTTAATTATTGCTACGATATGAATATATGTTTAAATTTTTTGCAGTGGATTCTAGATGACGATGGAATATTTAGCCATGAAAATGTTATGCCAGATATTGTTTACGTAATTTGGATCGAATTGTTGAACAAGCCATTTAATTTTAATAGTAACGTATTGATGAAAGTAACTGAAATTGTTCGACCAGCTCATGATCAACTTCCCATTTACGATGCCGTTAGTTTTGTTTGTGACTGACCGATTAATTTATATCTTTTTTTTTAAGTAATTATAGTTTCCTCTTCCTATTGCTTCGTATTTTCACGTCTACTGTTTAGGATATGAAAAAATTGTCCAATTCTTCCGATGTGCGTTTTTAACTTGCCTTTGGTACAATTCTGTCTTATGGCCCAAGATATAAATCAATCAATCAAAACATGTTAAAATAATCGGTACAGATTAGGAGAGATAGATTGTTTCATCCAGAATGGAACATACTATATGAGGAATCCATTACTGGCTTGTGATACCGCACTGGAACAGTATTCTTTGAACGTTTCCTATTCTTCAAGAACTGCTCGTTGATTCTAGTATTAATATCATTGGAAATTTTGATGAATTTGAAAGTGGTTCATTTCAATATAATGACATTTTAATGTTCTAAACGATATCCATAATTTTCAATATTATTAATGAAATTGTCAAATGAATCACCTCGTAATAAATTTTTCCTTAATTTTTTATTTTTTTGTGAAGAAATTTCTTTTTCAGCCATGGATTGAATCTGAAATGCCAGCCGATGCGGAATTGCTATCAGTTCATTCTTTAGTATGTTTCTTTTTTTATACTCACACATTATCGATGCAGTCATTTTATCATTGCAAATTGTTTTGTGCACTTCCTTATGTTGCGTGATGTCAAAGCCAGTTTTCCTTTTTTTAGCAAAATCGGCCCAAGGACAAAATCAACCCAGCTGCTGTTTATTCAGGATTAGTAATTTGGCGTGATATGACATGTCAACAAAGTGAGTTCTTCAAAACATTGGTATTTTTTTCTATTTAAATTAGGTCTAAAATGCTCGATGTTGCTGGAATGCGGTACAGAAGGCTTGAAATATGACTTTTGCAGCTCTAATTATTTTGTTGCATATTTGAAAATTCAGACATTAACTAAATTGGAATAGGCAAAAATGACTAACATGAGAAGTATATGAACTTTTAGTATTTCAGTAATAATGAATGTTTTGAGATAATCGTAATCAGATGCAATTTCGGTACTCTTACTGTTTTATTTTTCTCCATTTTACTCATATTTACTTGTATTTTCCTGGTTTTCAAAGGTTATTTAAGCTAAATTCACCAAAATCAAATATCATAAAATTCACCGTCTATGTCTCAACTTTTGCTTCTTCCTTCATCCAGTTATTTTATCTGAATTGTAGAACAAGTTGTCTTATGGTCGATAGCAACAGGAATTGTTTATTTTCGTCATGAACAATGCCAAAACATCGCAGTGGGTGCTTGGATTGATTTTGCCGTCCGGATCGGGTTAGTTTTTGTTTTTCCATTTATTTATCGAGGAATTTCCTGCTATAAATATTTTTGACTTCTTGCTTTAGAGTTTCTTATTCTATTTGTTGTGCCATAAGTTTGAGATTTTGTACGATTAGAGATGGTCATAATTTTTTACGAAGAATGACATGATGTTTGAAGTTTCAAATTTTACTTCACAGTTTATTTCATCGACATTTGTGCGCGAAACCCACTTTTGTAATTATAAAAGAGTATTAAGGCGATGATAGTTTTACCTTACAACGTACCAGAAAATTTTGAAGACTGTTAGTATAGCATGTGAAGTTTCTTGCCAGATTTCACTTTTAACTTTGTAGACGAGGTGATGTTTTGGAAGCTCATAAATTGAAGTATTCAAAGAGGCAGATCGTATCTACGAGGGAAGTAAAAGGTAAAGCTCAGGTAGTTATCATTTCTGTTTCATAAAGTTAAGCAAAATAGTAGCATGAAATTGGTTCTAATCGTTTGGATTTATTTAATTATTGATATTTCCGTCAACTTGAATATGTTTTAATCTATATCCATTTTTAAACAATGCATGCTTGCAACAGATGAAAAGCTTTTGCTTCCATTAATTTGAAGTCATAGGATATTCCTGGAAATTGCAGATATGTCAAAAAATGAAGCTACCAGAAAATTTACCTGAAAAAGACTGGATTTGGGTAAGTGATATTGTTGGAAAAGTTTGGATAGAGTTGGATCAGTTTAAAAGATCAGCGGCAGATCGATGGGATGAGTTAGCTGGAAGTGTCACGCATGTCTGGCTTTCTTTCGATCAGTTCTACTCTACAATACGCTGGAAATTTGATTCTATCGTGGAGTCTAACGAATGCGTTAGTTTACATTATATATGTCATAAAAAATACTTCATGTAAGCGGCATACATTTATACGTTCGTTTGTTTAATTGCTAAATTTTTTGCGTATGACATAATTTGCTAATTTGCACCAAATTTTCATCTTTCCAGATACGAGGTATTGAATGTCATTTAAACATTGTAATGGATGTTGTAGTACGTTAGAACAGGTAAAGTTTTCAGCTGTGTCAGCTAAGATTATGCATTATAATCAATAAAATTTTGAATGATTTTCAGGCAGAAACAGAAGATTCTGAAAATATCGAACGTTTCGCCGATTTAGTTAAATTGTGATACGGAAATTTTGCTCCGTTAAATTGTTCATTGCATAAATTTTATGTTGAGAATAATTTTTAAATGTTTTGGTAATGTTCAAAGAGTGTATAATCGTTTCAAAACTTGTTCAGCTTTCATAGATGTTGATATTCTTTCTTTTTTTGCTTTGTTTTACTTGTTTCCTCAGTTACTTTACTAATTTTTGTACCATTATTGTTCATCTCTTCCAGTTATTTTAGTAAGATCTCATATCGATATCAAATAATTTGACCTCTAATAATAAAGTAATAATTGATGTGATAGAGCTCAATGATGTTTTATTAGTAATCAAGCAGATAATGACTCATTCAATCTGCCGCAACCGATCGATACCCAGAAGTTTTTACAGAACAGTCTACACATTCCAGTCTCACCATTGTATTTGTGAGTTCTTTCAGAATGTGCCTGCACCTGTACTAAAATACTACTTTAAAAGTTTCCTCTCGAAGTAATAGGTCGTCGATTGGATATGGGGTGATAAATATGGCAGGTACATGGCCATCTTTTATGAAAATGTTTAACATCTGAGGAGTCTAATAGTTTGATTCATTCTGCAGTGCATAATGTGCAGGTATATCATCGATCCATTTAATAGAAACTCCTTGATTCTTATGTATAGTTAGAAATCGTATTCACTGTTAACATAGTACTCTCACCAGGGAGGATCCCAAGAAATCGAGTAATTCTTTTTTTTAATGTCGAGGAGGATGTTTTGTGGTGGTTTACTTATCGTTTCTCACGGGATTTGCCTGACACTGGGAAAATATCATGAATACTGGTCAATGTTGGCATAATCAGTTAAATTAGATGGAAGTAGCTTTTTAAAAACCTGATGATGTATGAAATAGTCCGACATGTGGTAATGTTACGCAGCCAATATGAAATATACTGGATTTAATGACTGGCCGTACACTCTGCCTTTCGTCGAATTTCAGTTTTTAGGGGTATCATGACAAAGGGATTGGAGAAGGTACGATCATGCCTGACATATAGATATACTTGGGCTAATTTCTGGACTAGTTTGTAAGGACAAGTCGCGGAATCGAAATGAGGCGGATGCAGAGAAGTGTGACTTGATATAGGGCTGCAGGCTGTAGTTTAACACGAGAGGCGCGTTCTTGAATTACGGTGCAATGCAAGTTTTGGTTGCGAGCGGTGATTATGTTGTAGGCTACGCAGAAGATTCGGTGGTTCTTGTGTTGTTCAGTATTCTGCGTATGTATGTAAGTTTATGCATTATGAGTTACGCATTCACTTATTTAAATTGTGCATGATATATGTATA